TGCGCTGAACTGGCGGCTCGCAGGTGTAGGTTTTTGCATGGACTTTTGCAGCGCGCCCAGGAACTTGCGCCTCTGGAGCATCAGCTCCACCAAGGTCTGGCTCCCCACTGTCGCAAGGTCTTACAGGGCAAAAGGCTGCTTCTTCTTGGAGAGCTGTTGCGTGGCATGGGACATGAGGACTCTCACCTTGTGTCTGACATCTGCTCGGGCTTTCGCCTGACCGGGTGGGTCAGGGCCAGCAATGTGATGGAGCCCAAGCTTCGCGCCCCCACTGAGTCTGCTGCCAACTTGTGGCGTAGGCGAAGCGACTTGAATGGCCAGGTGTGGCGACAGACTGTCTCTACAGGGTGTGATAGGCTGGACAATGAGCTCTGGGAGGCTACTGTGAAGGATGCTTCCAGTGGCTGGGCCATGTTGCTGCCAGCATCTGCCTGTGCTCCTGCCGACCTGCTTCTGAGTCGCAGGTTTGCTGTAGTCCAGGGGGATCGTGTGCGTGCGGTTGATGACTTCAGCTTCAACGGGTTGAATGACACGCTTGGCAACTGTGAAAAGGTCACAACCATGTCTACTGTACACACGACTGCTCTGGGCCTTCGGCTGCTACGAGTGGCTAAGGCGCGCGGCGTGAGCCTGTTGGGGCGCTGTTTCGACTTGAAGAGCGCGTATCGGCAGCTCCCGATACACCTGGATGATCTGCCGTATGCTGCTGTTGCTGTGTGGTGCCCTGAAGCGCAGGCTGTTCGCATTCTGCAGATGTTTTCGCTCCCCTTCGGAGCCGGCGGCAGTGTGCCAGCCTTCGTCAGGGTGGCTCTAGCGTTGTGGCGAGTACTTTGCCGTTCTCTGTCAGTACCTGCAACACTGTTCTTTGACGACTTTACTTGCATGGTGCTGTCTCCTGACGCCGCTAGCGCTGAAGCTTCTGTGCATCTGCTCTTCAGGATCCTTGGATGGCGCCTGGCCATGGACGGCACCAAAGCAGCTCCGTTTTCGGCACTCTTTCAGTCCTTAGGTGTGGTTTTCTGCCTTCACCCAGGTGTTGACTGCAGCCTCTCTGTCACCAACACTGAGGCTCGCAAGGCAGAGGTTGCAGCCTGGTGCTTAGAGAAACTTAGGGCCAAGTGTGCGACACCAAAGGAGTGTGAACAGTTTGCTAGCAGGGTGAGGTGGTTGGCAGGTCAGGTTTTTGGTCGCTCTGCCTCTGCTGCACTTCGTGTTCTGTTGCGCGCTGGCCGTGAAAGCCGCCCTTTCACTGCGCGGCCTCTGTCGGCAGAGCTGGCTTGGGCCATCAGGTGGATACTTGAGAATATACCCAAGGGCAAGCCGCGACGGTGGTCGTTGGGTACCAGAAAGAAGTTGCATCTGTTCACTGATGGTGCTGTTGAGGGTGACACTGCCTCTATAGGAGGTGTTCTTTGCGATGGCTGGTGCCAGCCGCTCACTTGGTTTGGTTGTCAGGTTCCCGCCTCAGTGCTCGGAGGATGGTGGTCGTCCGGCACGGACCATCCCATCATTCAGTGTGAGTTGCTTGCAGCCGTAGTCGCCTGCCATGTTTGGTCTGACCTGCTGTCTGCTGCCAACGTCTGCCTGTGGGTGGACAACGAGGTTGTTCGCTTTGGCATCATAAATGCTTTCATACGGCCGCCGTCTGCCATGCACATGTTGTCCAGGCTTCTGCAGGCTGAGGTGTCTGCCGACATTGGCATGTGGGTCTGTCGCGTGCCTTCGCACAGCAACCCAGCCGATGGGCCCAGTAAGCCTCCGGCTCAAACCTGTTTCTTTTGTAGGGGTAGGGAGTTTTCGAACGTAGTTTTGCCCCCACCAGCGGGGACTCCAAACGTAGCTGATGCCATGGAAGGACTCTCGAGATTTTTGCTCTTGCCGTGTGCTGAGCAACTTAATCAGGAACACACAGTCGTCAATGACAAGCCAGCCAAGAAGGGGACAGACTTCATCGGCCCCAAGGGGGAGCCGCAGAAGGACGAACGTGACATCATCAGGAGCTCGCCTCATAACAAAATACCTCTCAGTGCTTGTTGCCATGCAGGCGATAAGCCGTCCCGAGGAACGGATCTGCCGATCAAGCTGGCCCGAGCCTTCGGTGCCGCACCCATCCGTCAGGACACCCTCAGGGGTCAGCGAAATCTCCTTGCATGCCGCACGCTTGAGGTGGCACAGCAAGCCCATAACAGGGCCAGACCATCGGCAACTCAGGTCCACAGAAGTTCGGTGCTGGACTTGGAAGCCATGGACTAGCTTATCAGGTAAAGGAGCAGGGGTAGATGGCGCAAGCCACCCCCGAGGGAGCTCACGGCAGGCCCCTGTTGACACAGCTCGATCTTTAGGATGTAGCCGACGCCTCGGCCCGCTGCCTCAGCTACGCCACTTCTTCAGTACTGACAACAGGGAGACAGGCAGCAGCCGCCCCCAAGGGAGTCCTCACAGGACCCCAGCCGACATAGCGACTTCCACAGAAAGGTGCCGCAGCCCCGGCCCACTGCCTCAGGTCGGCCTCTGCACAGATTCCTTGAGAGACACTGCTTCTCGTACCCCCCCGCTGCAAACACCGACTAGTATGATTGCCGGGAATTTCGAGAGCAGCAAGCGATCTCCTGCCAGAAACCAAGAACCTGCCCACCCCACCCAGCCTGAACAACCTTCACCCTGCTCAGGTCGAACGACTGAAAACCTGGTCTGCCATACTACGTGCAGGACTGCATCAGCTGGAGAGCAGGTTGTTGCATCTGATAGTGCCTCGCTGCTTCTGTCTAAAGGGTTTCATGCAGAGCAGACCGCTGACTGCCACTCTCAGCAGTGC